TAATCCTAGCTCTTGGGAGGCTGTAAACAGACGGATCACTATGAGTCTGATCTAGTAGTGAGACCCTGAACACTTTGTAGACCCTTCCCTAAAATACAAAAAAAGTAAAATAAATAAATAAATAAAAAGTAAAAAAAAAAAAGAATATAAAAAACAAACGCTGGTGAGGCTGCCAGGCTAAAAAGAGCCCTCCTTCACTTCTGGTGGGATGTAAATTAGTACAGCCAAATACTAACCCTAAGGTTAAGCCCTGGAAGACAGAAGTTGCTGGCACCACACACCCCACCTGCCAGCCTCATCCCCTGCCAGCCAGGAAGCCTAGACTACTAATCAGAGCAGGCAGCAGGACACAGACGCTGCCACCTGGCAGCGCCTGTCTTCACACGGTCACTCCATGGGTCCCAGCTCTCCATTTGCTGTTTCCCAGTGCAGGGGGCTAAACCCAAGACCTTTACACTGAGCTACAGCCCCAGCCCTTGTTTATTTTTATAGGGTAGTGTTCAACTGTGTAGATTGTCCGCGAATTTGTGATCCTCCTGTCTTAGCGTCCTAGAGTTCTGGGATTCTAAGCATGAGTCATCACACCTGGGCTGATCTTTATGAAAGAGAAATCACCCAAACCTGTGAGTCGACTGTCTTGTCTCCACAACACCCACCACAGACGCTTGGTTCCAAGATCTTTCCCCTTCAGAGAAGCACAGCTAACACTCGGCAGCCCGGCCACCCTAGTGTTGGCCTCTGCTTACCCAGGACCCTAACAGGCTCCAGAAACAGAACCACCAAATTAGCCTTGGGTTTCTACCATGGACTTCCACTTTCACCCCAAAGCAAGTCAGAGAGAGCTGAGTGCAGGCATGAGGCCTCTGCTCCTCAAGTGGAACCCACACTCTGTGCTGGGGCCTGACCTGGACTCTGCTCCAGGGCACTCACAGCTGGTGCACACAACAAGGAAGATGAGCTCATGGAAAGGACTCCAGCCTATAATCAATGAGGAAGCAGGGAAGTCCTAAGCCTCAACTCAGAGCAGGCCCCAGTGAAAGCCCTAGGCTACCCTGAACATGCCCTGGACACTCTTGGAGCCTGGGTTCCAGCCTCCTAGGGTTCCCCTGAGGAGCAGGCTCATAGCACCAGCACATGAGTATATCACCCACAGAATATGATTCTGCAGCAGGCTGGTGGGGCTGTGCCAGGGAGAGAAAGTTACTCTAGCTGTTCTTTATGCTATGAGAAGTGCAGCCACCTCCATGTAGCCAGGCACTGAGGAGGTGGTCACAAGGCCCCGTCCTTATTCCCACCTACCTGACTTCCACTCACTTCAGGGACCATCAGCATCAGCACTGGACACACAGATGCCCTCTGTGTCCCCAGGCTCCATACCTGCAGATCCAACCATAGGTGAATTTTGAAAAGGCTTGGGAAAAACTTCTTTTGACTGAACACACACAGACCCTTTTCTTACCATTATGCCTGAAACAGCATAGAAGAGCAATTTACAAAGTCTTGACATGGCATTTGGGTTCTACAAATTAATTCAGAGGTTTCAAACAGATAGGGTGTATGAAATTCATATGGAATTTGAGAGTCGAGAACTTTCAAGTTCCCAGGTGACCCAGAGCCAGTCCTGCGACAAGATGTTAAGTTACTCCAGCGGATGTCCAGTGTTGAACCTGCTCTGTGTGTGTGTCTGAGATGGGCTCTACATGGGGATGCGAGTCAGGAACGTCTGCACTACATTCAGTGTGCACAGGATGCACTGCTACACACACTGGGATCTGCCGGCTCTGGCACAAAACGCTGTGCACAAACACCTCCACCTGGCCCAGATACCCTCTAAGAGGCAGGGCAACCTTCCAGGCCCAGCCTTTTCTGATGACCTTTTGGTCCATATCACAGAGGCCTTGAGAATTTATCAGATGCCTACTGTTTTGATCAGGGTCAGTGCGATCACTGAGGCTGGAATCACTGACCTTGGACCCCTGATGGAGAAAGGGAGACAGCCCAGCAGGGCATCAGCAGTGTCAGGGAGCAGCTCAGGGAGGACGGCTTCCATGTGGAGCTTCTGTCCAACCAGGACCCCATCCCAAGTCTGTCTGCCCCTGAAATTGCAGCCCCTTCCCCCCATTTTATTATGAGCAAGGGGCTTTGAACGCTCAGCAGGAAACAGAAGCCATGGTTGTTGGGACATGGGGGTCTGTGAGAGACTCATCAGACCCAAGGCTGTGGAAGAGGCACAGGGCCCTTGCTCCAGGAGGCCTGGGCAGAGCATGCGGAGGCCCTGGGGACAGTCACATCCCTGACGCCACTGAGTCCAAGCTGGGGTTGCCGAGGACACACCCCAAAGGACCTCCTTCCTGTTCTGACAAGGGCTCCCCTGTCCGGCTCGTGCTAAGATGGGTGCTCCCTCCTTTCTGGAACCCTCTTGCCCCTTTCCATGAGCCCTAGGCCACCCAACACCTGGGGCACAAGGCAGCAGGGGCTGGGCTTGGCACCACCACCTCTGGCTGCCCCTGCCTGCTGGGTCAGGCCCCCTCAAGGCCATAGCTGCCACTCTGCCGTCCAGTCCCCTCCCCAGGCTGAGCCTCGGAGACAGCCCTGACCTTCTCTGCTGAGATCTCCGGCGGGTCCTCCTGCCTCTTGGCCTGAGGCTTTGTACAGCTGTTCTCCCAACCAGGAGGACTGTCCTTCGAAGCACACTGGCACACTTTAGGCAGTGCTTATGTCCATGCCCTGGCAATGCCTGCTCAGCGGCCCCTGGAGGTGGGCCTGGAGCTCACCCTGCGTCCTTGTCTGTGGCCCAGCTGTCAGTGGAGCGGAAGGAGCTCCCTGCTCTGCCCAGGCTTGCACCCGAATCAGGGTTGGGTCCCTGCTGGGTAGGGGCCACAGCTCTGCTTCTCTTTCTTTTTGAGGTCACTGGAAAATGTTGGCTTCAGTCTCGGGGTATAGCTCAGTGGCACAGTGCCTGCCTGGCAAGCACAAGGTCCTGAGTTCAATTCCCCACTTAAAAAAAAAAAAAAGCCAGCTTTAATAGCAGATGAATACCCTTCCCCTCCCCATCTGCTCTCAGTTGAAATTATCCAAGTGGATCTATTCAGTTCTTAAAAGATGAAATATAAAATACTGTTGTGACTTTTTTAAAACAACTTTTCAACAGATTCTATGAGCTGCATAAACATTTTTAACCAAAGATCTGTGGTTAAAACACTTCTATTGAAGATCAAGCGATGAAGTGTAACAAAGTTAAGGAAAAATCAATACGCACAAAAAGACATTGAGCTCTCGGCAGCGTGGACCTCACCTGCCACAGGAGTCAACCACGCAGAGTATGTGACACTTGTCAGGTCTTCTCCTTATGGGGCCATGGCCCTGGACACGCTGTGCTTGTCTCCAGCCTCAGGCTCCATGTGGCTGGTTAGCGGGCAGTCCGGCAGCACCTACCTTGAGTGGGAATGCAGGTCCCTGGGTCCCACTGGTCCCAGGTCCCACGAGCCAGAAGCTGCCTACGATTTGTCCCAAAGGAACACAGCCATGTTCCAGGCCTCCAGGGCCACAAGCCCTACCTGGGTTTCTGGAAATATATCACCAGTCTTCAGAAAAAAGAAAATATCTACTTTCTCTTGGCTTAGAGATTGTCTAAGCCCCTTTACCTCACGTGTGAGAACTGAGGTCACAGGTATGCGAACAAGCCCCTGCGGGTCAGTGAGCCAGTGTCTGGGACTCCTGAGGCCAGAGGCTTCCTGCTCCTGCCTGCCCCATCCCTCTCTCTTCTGCCCACTCTGACCTCACTTCCTGCCTGCCTCACTCCTGGCCTCGGCAGCCACGTATGTGCCTGGGCCCTGGGTCCCCACCAGATGCAGCCTCGACGCCTCACCAGGTGCCTCCAACCTGGCTGGGGCCCAGGGAGGGTGACGGTGAGGGAGAAGAGGTAACCGGGGATCGCTGGGGACTGGGAAATCACTAAGTGACGATTGTTTTTTAAAAACGCAGTAGAATGAATATTCAGGCCATACCACATTTACTCTAGCTCCGCGATCAGAATCATGCGCAAGCAACACTGCCCATAACTTCATGTTTGTTGCTTTCATCCAGGGTTCACAATTTTATGACCCACCAGAAAGCTCCTTTAAATTACCTGCTAAGAAAATGCTTCCAAAAGAGGGTGGGTGCCAGAGCTCTGAAGCACCCCGACCACAGGTGCCCAGAACTAGCACCCAGCAACACTGCCTCCCCACGGGCTGAGCCGGACCTGGATCGCAGTCACTGTGCCCGGCCAGCACAGAAAGCACAACTTGGCTCCCCATTGTGCAGCCTGGTATAGGCTGTGGTTGTCCTTGCAGACCACGGGGAAGCCAGTCCCAGTGGGACACTTCATGCAGCAGGAAGAGAAGCTCAAGAAGCCCCAGCGCAGGGCAGCTGACGCTCGGCAGGAAGTGGGCCTCACAGGGCAGGGCTGGCACCCTGAGAGCGCTGATCAGGACAGCGACCCCCATCTTGCTGTTTCTCTTCCATGCATAGGTCTTGCTGGGGCCCTACCCCTCAGACTCTCACCTTCAGGCCCAGCACTGCCCTGAGCTTCTGGGCCTCCCACACCAGGGTGAAAAGTCAGAGTTTAGAAAAACAGTCCTCAGTTCTTAGCAACTGTAACTTAAATACTGAAACCTGGCTCCTCCCAGGAGGCACTGGTGACACTCCACGTAGTGTACCAGACTACAGCCCCACCCTGTGCAGGACAGGCCATTCAGCAGCACTCCTGGCCTCGACCTCCCCAGGTTCTGAAAGCCAAGCCTGTCTCTCCTGAGTTTCTACTGAGGACAAAGTGCCTGCAGGGTCATCAGTGTAAAAGGCACTGTGGAGGCCTTTGTCTGTGCTCCTGTCCACGTAACCTCAGGCCACTGCCTTCCTCTCTGGGCCTCAGTTTCCTCAGCTGTCCATGGCAGAAGCTGCACTGGGCTTGTGTCACCATGCAGCCAGCCCCTTCCTCATGGCCAGCCCTGGCTGCTCACCTGTTCAGGAAGATGCTGCTGACATCATCATGCGTGATGGGAGGCTTCTTGGAGCTGGCTGCCATGCGCAGTGGGCGCAGGAAGTTGTTGACAAGGATGTGCAGCTGCTGAACATACTCAGCCTCAGCCTCCAGCATGCTGAAGACCACCTGGTTCCTCTTGCGCATGCTGTCAGCGTGAGGCGAGCGGATATAGTCCTGGATGATGGTCTTCCACTTCCGCCGGCACAGCCAGCCCCGCAGGAAGCTCTGCACCTGCAGAGTGCTCGAGTTAGCAGCTGCATGCCAAGGGCATAGACCTTGGCCCTGCCCCTCCCCCACTCATCTTGCAGGGACACAGCCCAGTGTGGGCCAGGCCTGGCTGAGACGTGCCTAATGCTGAACACATCCGTGGGTCTCTCGGTCCTTTCCCATGTGTGAAATGGGACTGAAGAGATGATGACTCAGCACAGACCAGACTAGACTGGCATCTCTGAAGAACTGGTTACAAATGCATGTTTCAGGCCTCTGTAATTCAGCAAGACCCTGGCTTGTACCAGAAGTACCCACTGAAGAAAGAAGGCTGTGGCCCCACGTCTGCACGCAGCAGGTGTTCAGCAGAACGGGCTGTGCCAGGCTTGGATGCCCCTGCTGCATCTAAGGACTTGTGTGGAAGCCCAGCGGGCTCCACTAGCTCACCCAGAGAGAAGACAATGATCAAACTGAACAGCACCTGGCAAAGTCGCACACCTCATCCTCGGGCCTCACTGGCAGCCTCCCTTGACTTTGGGGAAGAGCACAGCTACCTAGCCTGTCCTTGGAACCAGGCTACGAGGACTGGCTTGGTGTTGGCAGAAAGGTGGGCAAGGGCCTTGAGCCCACACACAGACACACACAAGTGGTTTGTGCTCACTCCCAAGTGATCCTGGCGGTGGCACAGGGAGGGACACAGTGCACCTGTGCTAGGCCCCTGGGCATTCGCTCCTAAGCAGGCTTGTATGGCAGCATCTGGGTAAGGCTTTGGAGCATGTGGAGGAGGCTAAGACTCCAAAGCCTCAACCCAGCAGGACCTCTGAGGTGGGTCTGTTGGGAGGGGCAGCTTGGAACACTGAAGCTCTGGGTAGAGCAGGGAGATGGAAGGCAGGGACTGGTGTCGACTGGCCCTTTGCAAATGCCCTGACCAGAAAGGCCACCAGGGGCTATACCCATAGCAAAGGTGGTGGATATATGGCCCAGACCCAAGTGGAAGGCCCTGTGCTGCTGGCCAGCAGGTTCTCAGAGACCTGGGCTGGCTGGTGGAAGGCCCCCTTGCCCCTGGGGCTCTTTCAGGATGCAGTGCCCCCCAGAAGTGGAGGACTTGGGCCAGGTGCTGCAGCCAGAGCCTGAGTCACTGTGCGGACACTCAGCTGTGCCCACGTGGGCGATGTGTGTCTCTCAGAAGCATGGCCTCCCCCAGCATGAGACAGAATGAGGAAACCTCAGAGGGTTCTAGTGAGGAGCCATAGAATCTTTACCAACTCCTAGAACGGCACCTGGCATATGGGAAGTAGCTCACAAAGGTTAGCCATTCCTGCTTTTGAGAAACCAGTTGTTTGGTGAACCTTTTAAAACACTAGAAACAAATACAAAGGCAAAAAACCCTACTGTGTGGGTGGAAATCTCCACACTGGGCTTGGTCTAGGGGACACCAAGCGACTGCAGCCTCTGGTCCAGGTGGCACCAGACCTCTGACCCCTCACCTGGCAGGACTCTGGTCCATCTGCTCCCCTGGGGGACAGTCATCATCCTACCTGTGCTAGTCAGCCTGGTGTGGTTGTGCCCTGTGGTCCTGGCAGATTTTTGGCATCTCCCGCATGGTCTGGTTCCAGCACCACCCATTCCTCCCTAATAGAGCCTGTTTTCTTATCTGTAAAATGAGGTTGCACCTCCCATTCACACAGTAGCCAGAAGGTGTCACCCTGCCTGTTGAGGTGTCACCCTGTCACCAAGGCTGGTGAGCCTGCCTGCAGCTGTGGGCGTAAGAGGGTGGCTTGCCCCAGGAATGTGGCCCACTCCTGGCTCTAAGGGGACAGGTTGGACAGCAGCACCCACCTTCTTAATCTTCTTGATGTCACTGTCATCATCGTTGGGGGTGACAGTCTGGGTGGACTGGATGCGCTCATTGTCCTTCAGCAGGGAAGTGATCTGCAACAGAGCAGGTCAGCAGCTAGCAGAGCTGGACACAGCTGCGTGTCCAGGGCACAGCAGTGTGGGGGCAGGTGATGCGACACACAGTATGGGCTATCTGGGGTGTGCAGCCAGGAGCACCCCAGACTGCAGAACACGGAGAGCAAGGCTGTAGGCATGGCCTCAGTCTGTGACTCTCCCTCCATCCCCCAAACCATCAGCCCCTTTACTGTTACATTTTGGTCACAGTTTTAATCACTGTACATGAACAGCTTAGTGGCATCCAGACTATGCATAGTGGGGTACAATCAGCACCACCAAGCAGCTCTAGAACCTCTATGTCTTCCTCATGGAACTCTAACTGTGCCCATGAGGCCATAATAACTTTATGCCCCTTGATTCTGGCCACTGGCAAGGATAATCTACCTCCTGCATCTGTGACTGCTGCACCAGGGCCTCCCCTATGCACACTCCAACAGGACTTTCTGTGACCAGCTTATTCACCTCATATCCTCAAGGTTTGTCCTCTCGGTAGCAGTGTCAGAATGACCTTATCTAAGGCTGAACACCGTTATTAGTGGTACAGTAATAAAATACACGTTACTATATGCATACACCATATTTTATTTAGCACTCGTCTCTTAATGGATATTCAGGTAGTCTATTTTTTTAAAAAGCAGAACCATACTTGGTGATATATCAGATTAGAGCAGGTGGCTCTCCCCTGCCTGGGCCACCCTGCAGCATTCCTTGGTGTGACAGTCCCTGGAGGAGCACAACCCAGACACCTCGTTCTAGGAAAGATGAGCTAGATCTTGGAGTGACATTTGAGCAGTCTTAAGAATCTCCATTGTCTGTTGGGAGTCAGAGCACAGGAATAAGGATGAGACCAAGGCCTGGGGCCTGGAAGGACAGGCAAGGGGGCATTGTGGGGTGTGGTCTGTCCAGCCTCTCTGGACTCTGCAAGGCCCCTGTTCACACCTAGTGTTGCAGCACAGGGCATTTTCCTGGAAGAATGCTGGAACTGCCAGGTCCCTCCATTCTTTGCAGTGAGTTCTGGGGAGAGAGGCTACATTGTTCTACTCATTAATGTGCTCCCAGTGTACTGAGCCTGCACCAGGACTCTGAATGTGCTCAGCAGGCACATAAGTAATTCTAAAAAAATCAGCAATGGCAGCCACAAAACTTGCAACCAGAAGAAAACTGTCACTAAGCTTCACCTATCTAAAGATAGCAGCTCAGGATTCTACAAACACAGCCACAGTGCCACTGGGAGCACGTGGCTATGTTCCTGGAAGGCCAGCTGTTGGCTGCAGTGCAGTGTGAATGGGCACTCAGAGCAGCACGTTGAGCAGCTCCGGGAGAGCAAAGTGGAGCAGCTGCCCACTCTGCACTCCCTGGCTGCTAAAATTACCATGGCCTTCGCAGGCGAGTGGCTGAAAACGTCTAACAGAAGCGCTGGGTGTGGAAATGGCTTCTCCGTTGTCTTCCTCTTTTTATTTTTCCATGCTGCCCTTTCTGTGATCCCTTGAGAATATCTGCACTTTGAAATGAAGGCTGATTCTGTGATCTGTGGTTTAAAGACGCACGCGCGCGCGCGCATACACACACACACACACACACACACACACACACGAGCTCCAGACAGTTTGGAGATGCTCATGTCCATCCACGCCTTTGCAACAGCCTGTTACCAGGTCTGAGCCAGGCTGTTTTCTCTAAGCTTTGGGCTTTGCACACTGCACTCTTTCTCCTTAGGGCGATGACAGGTGTGTATGTGCAGGGTGGTTTAGGGTGGCCTGTACTCAAAACCGATGGTGTCTCCTCAGAGACAGGCATTCCAGGACATCAGCTCCTCAGGGGCTGGGACAAAAATAGATGCAAATAGGTCAGCTGTGCTGTTCCCCGTGCAGGCACCGCATGTGGCCTTGAGGTCTTCATTTAAGGGTCAGAAAAGGTGAGCAAAGCCAGAAAGTCAGGAGCCCGGGAACTGTGAGCATCTAGGGCTGCTGGCTGCTCCCGCTTGGAGCAGTCTGTAGATGGTGGTGGGAGCTGCCAGGGCTCAGGGCGGCAGTCTTCCTCTCACCCCACCAGTCCTTCTGGAGAGGGGCTTTCCCTGACCCTGGTGTGTTTGGCGGTTACCCACGTCATCAGCACTGTCCTGGGAGCTGGACCTTGTCAGTCACTGAACGTAGCTGCTTCACTCCTCTCCTGCCTCAGTGTCTGAGTTCTGGTCACCTGCTCATCAAGAAAATTCCGTGCACCTTCTCCTGGGCACAGAGCAGCAGGCAGCTGCTCTCCACCTCCTACATACTTTAAACCAGGTGAGTCCTGTTGGGGCTTTGCAGAGGAATTAATCCAGATTTCTTTCTTTTTGTCAGAAAGCCAGGTTTTACTAAAGACCTCTGTGCTTCTTGCTTTGAAGTGCTACTGCCTAGCACTGCCCTTCTTGCTTCCGTGTGCTTCCCTAGTCCCCTCCAGGCCCAACAGCCCCCTGCCCCCAGTCTCCCGCATGCCAACCCACCTGCCTATCCTGACTGTCTCTGTCGAACCCTGAGCGAGCCCTAGAGACCAGCTGGGACTGCAGAAGTCAGACCCCTCCCTAGAGGAGTTCCCTGGAGTCACCCCTGAGAAGTGGGCCAGGCAGCTACAGAAGTCACTTACAATCCCATAAGGTGGGCCCAGAGCAGAGGTGGGTATCCGCTGGAGTGGCAAAGGTTTTCTAGAAGTTCTGAAGGACATGTAAGAATTTAAAAGGTAGTCTAAGAAAGAATTTGAGTGCCCCAAGGCTGAGGGTGTGACACCTGCCCAGAGGGTGGGAGGGAGTGGTTCCTGGGGGCAGCCCTAGGAGGCCAGAGCTGGCAAAGCGGGGCCAGGGCGCCCTACCTACCTGGAGCAGTCTTCTCTCTGACCTGTTTCACACTGGGGTTTTATATGATCCCAGTTTGTCTGCAGAATGGATTCTAAGGTGATTTCTATTTTAAACCTTAAAGAAAAATTGTCTGCAATTCCTCTAGGATTGCCCTCTTGGGCTTGGGAGAGCCCATGGGTCAAGGAGATGTTCTGCTACCAGGAAGCTCTCCGACTCTCCACTTGGCACAGCACCACAAGGAAGGAAACCCATGCCACCCAGGCTCTCCAGGTATGGGTGCCCTTTGCATGAGGCGCCCTTGAAGGGCTGTTGGGCTGTGAGAGGTGGGGCCTTCCAGGAGGAGAAACAAGCAGCTAAGATGCTGAGCTCCCGAGAGCAGAGTGGCTGCAGCAGCAGGACAGGCGGCAGGGGCCCCTGCACACTGCAGAGTCCTAGACTCAGAAGGGCTAGCACCTGCTTTCAGGCTCTGCTGCTGCTGTCCAAGTTCTGAAGCCCACCAAGTCCCATTTGATTCTGTACCTGCCCTGTAAACTACATCTGGTCATGAAAAAGATGCAGCCAGGCATAAGATGTGAGTGCTATGACCAGCAACCTGCAAAAAAAATTCAGACTTGGAGCCTCTGCTAATGGCTGTGGTATAAATGCTGTGGAGTGGGCCAGCTGTGCTCTCTTATGGCCCACTTCAAATGATTCAAGAATCAAATCAGCAGATGGCAAAATTCCTATAAATTTAATAAGTAGCTCTTGAAAGCTGGTGTATGAAAGTGAGCAAAGATTGAGGAGAATATGCAGGGTGTGAAGACCAAGGCACCCTGGCTCGTGAATGGAGATGTGTTCTTATTTCTAAGCTGTTTTCTTGAGGACACCCTGTATTATATCCAAGGCTGAGAGAATCTGTTTCATGTGACAGCCTGAGTCCTTGGGCTTGGAGACAGCATAGCAGCCACCACTGAGTGGGCAGGAGAGCTGAGGTGGCCGCTCGGCACTCTTCCTTCTTACATATTGTGAGTGGAGTTACTTCTCAGAGGCCCTGCGAAGGGCATGCTCACATAGCCTGCTTTGTCCCTCAACATGTCCCTCAAGCTAAGCCAGCTTCCTGTCCTTGCTGCGGGATGCTGTGACTCTGATGGAGGGAGCCCTGTCTGTCCATGTCCCTGGCTCCCAGGGAGGCTCCAGTGGTGCATGGTCAGCAGCGGAACCACCGCCGAAGCACAGAGCACAAGGCACCTACCTGCATTTGCGTTCTAGACCACTAGGATCTGGGGCTGTTTGTTGCTGCATCAGGACCCCACCTATCCTGACAGATCTTGGTGTGACCACCTGAGGGTCAGGAGTGCAAAGCCTGAGGAGATATAGCTGTTGTGGGAAGCAGCTCGAGGAGTTTGGAGAGCACAGCTGGGAAGTGAGTGCTGGCCAAAGGAACCAAAGCCCCCAGAAACCCTCAGGTATATCAGGCCAGGGCTGGGGGCCAGGTAGACTTGAGAGCTTGGGGCCCCTCAGGTAATGCTGGCCCTCCCAACATGCTGGGGTGTCTCCTATGGGTCATGGGCTGAGTCAAGCACTGGCAGAACTGAACGGCAGATCCAGCACTGAAGTGAGGTCCTTCCTTGCTAAGGCCTCAGTGTCCTCAGGTCCCTCTCACTCTGATACTGAGACCTCAGTCTGTGTGTCACTGGGGTTGCTGCTTACCTGCCTGCCTCTTGTACTTCCTGTATTGCTGATGGTTTCTTCTCAGGATGAGATTTTCTTGTCCTGCCTCCCTAGAGAACAGGGGCCCTTGGCCTGCAGGGTGTGTGTGTGTGTGTGTGTGTGTGTGTGTGTACGCACATGCACACGTGCATGTATGTGTGTGCCATGTGTGCCTGTGGGGAAAAGAGAGACTACTTGTACTGTGCCCCTTCTCTGGCCCAAAATCTCCAGGCCTTTTAAGGCAAGCCCACACTACCTGCCTGTGTGACCTGGGCGCATGCCACACTCTGCCACCTCTAGACCCAGAGGTAGGAACTTCTGCTTCTTGGTACACCTACCTGAGAGCCTGAATCCCACAAGCCCATAGGGAGCACCTGCTCTTCCTAGGGAAAGGGAAAGAGTGACAATGGACACTGCCCTGTCATCAAGAGTTTCTTGCCTGACCAGTGGATGGCACAGGACGCCCAGCTGGCTGTAGCATAGCTTTGCTCACTGAGTCTGTGGGGAGCTGGCAGAGCACATTCTGGCACTTGCACTTGGCAGGATTTCTCCAGAGCAAATGTGGGGATGAGAAGGAGCTCCAACCTGTGCAAAAAGGCTCAATAGTGGCCTGGACTTGGGTGGGAAGATGGCTGAGTGGGCAGGAGACCTGGGTGCCAGCCCTGTGCCACATGCGTTGGGCAGGCGACTTGGGCTCTCTCCTCCCCTGTGAGATGTGGCGACTGATACTGTCAGGGTGATTTGGAGACCTGCAGGAGGATGTCAGACACCTTTGGGGAGAGATGCCGAATCTGATGCTGCCTTGAGTTCAGAGCTTTGCTGCAGGGCGAGGATGATGTCGTTTTGGATGCCTGGCACTCAGGCAGCACAGGTTTGTTGGTGTGAAGTTCCCTGCACAGAAAGCCCTGCGCCTGGTGCTTGTGCTCCTTGTTAATCTCCTTTGAGCTGTTTCAAGTGGGGCTGAAGGGCCATGCAGCTCTCCGGGGAACCCATGCCATCCTGCCAGTGACCTGCAGGTGGAATTCTTGGGTACCCTCTGCCCAGGCAGCTGGGAAGCTGCACATCCCACCCTCCATGGGACCTCCGTGTAGGCACAGCAGGTACCCTGCCCAGGGGTGCGTGATGCAGGATGTGATGGCGTCGCTGTCCCAGCTGCGCTGTCCCAGCTGCGTCGCTGTCCTTCCTGCCCATGCAATCTGGGGCTGAGAGGTCCTACAAGGTCATCAGAGGAGGCTGGAGGCTGGAGCTGGGTGGGGACAGCAGGATAGGAAAAGGGAAGCAGATATCCCCAACCCTGAATGGCCTTGCATTGTCCTTGTGCCCAGAACCCTGCAATTCTTACAACTGATGGATCCCAGGAGTCCATGCTGGTACTATCCCCTCTTTGGCTCAGCTTGTGTCCCTGTGTGATATGTCCAGATTATTTTGAGCTTGTGTGGAGTAGGGGGAGAGAGACATCAGACCTTCCCACCATGAACTCTGGTAGGTGGAGACCGGAAAGACACCGAGGGGCAGACATTCATTGCTCCCACCTGCGGTGCTGTGGCTGTGAAGATCCTGACCTAGGAGGCCCAAGTGTGTGCGGGGAGGGATGCTGCTGCCCACTGACCTCTGCAGGAGCTGCTCTCACAGCAGCGCAGGAAAGCGGCCACAATGGTGCCCTGCCCGGCCGGATACCAGGGTGGCCTGAACTGGCCCAAGCGCAGACCTCATCCCCAGTTCAAAGCCCCCAGTCCCAGTCACCTCTGCCTTTAGCCGCTCAATCTCGACCTCCCCATCTTCAATCTGCTGCCGCAGCTGCTTGGCCACCGTCTTTTCTGTCTCCACGATCTGTAGGAGGTGCAGGTACTTCTGCATCAGTGCCTCGTGCTCCGTGGCCAGGGTACGGTAGCTGCGGGGGTGGGGTGGGGGACACATGGACATGCGGCCCAGACGCTGCCTCGCAGCCCTGGATCCTGTTAGCTGTCCCAAGCCCACAGCTCACACTGCCCTCCCCCTCCACTGTTCTGGCTCACACTTCTGTTTTTTGCTTCCTTTTCTGTCCTGTCTTGTCCTGTCCTGTCCTGTCCTGTCTGTCTGTCTGTCTGTCTGTCTGTCTGTCTGTCTGTCTGTCTGTCTGTCTTTTTTGAGACAGGGTTTCACTATGTAGTTCAGGCTAGACTTGAGCTTACTTTGTAGCCCAGGCTGACCTTGAACTTACAACAATCCTTCCTGCTCAGAAACCCGAGTCCTGGGATTACAGGTGTGTGCCACCATACCCAGCTTCTTTTGCTTTCTTGCACACACATGCATACACACAGGCACAGGCGCCCTTGACTCTAGACTTTGCCTGGGTAGACTTTCTGTCTGCAGCTTGCCTCCTTCCTCCTTATCTGTGACACTTCAGCAAGATGAGGCAAGGGCAGCCTCCTCATAACCCCAGGCTGGAGCCAAGAACCCAGAAGGCTGTGGTGGGAAAGGCCTGTGGCCAGGGCAGGAGGCTGCACCCTGGGGCGGGAGCAAGGGACAGGTGTGGTGCAGGTGTGGGCCAGCTGGAGCTAGGGCAGAGCAGGGACCCAGCAGGGGCCTGGGGGAACTGGCAAGAGCACAAATCTCCCATCTTGCCTGCCACCCACCTCCAAAAGCAGATAACATGCTGTGAGAGAGTGTCCTTGGACAGCAGCACTATCAGATTACAATGGGACTTTATGAACTTCTCTTATGAAAATGAATATCCAATAAAATTCAGTTAAAAGCATAAGGAGCCAGATTTTCCTTGCCCACCTCGCATCACACCTGGTGAGAAAGCCCCTCTTCCTCTTGGATGGTCTTACTAACAGCAGTGTCCCAACCCTTCTGACAGGTGCCAGGCTACTTCCCTCCCCTCCAAAGCCCCTCCCTTTCCCTCATCAGCCCCTTAAATCACCACCATCCTCTTCCCTTTCCCTCCCTCCCTCCCTTCTGAAAATAGTAACAAGCCCACACACCCAAGACCATAAGACAACTCAAGGATGATGGAGTTCGACAGCTCCATGCGATAAGTGCAAAAACTGAGGCCAAGATGAGACGCAACTTGCCTGAATAAACAGGCAGTCATTGTCCAGGTGGGAGACAGAATGGGTCTGGCCATGAGAACTGGGTGGCAGGTTTGGGCAAGCTCTCCTTGCTGGAAGGCAGGCTGTGAGCTATGCTCCTGCCAGCTTGCAGCCGTAACCACACCAGGAGGCTGCTGTGGGAGAAAGCTGGCTGAGCCTGGCCGTGTGCAGTGGCCACATCTGCACACACAGTGTCTGCGAAAGCAGCTCATGTTGGGTTGCCCTCCACTGGCTCAGGTCACACTTGGTATGGGAGGCTGCAGGCAGAGGCCACAGCTCCTCATGCCCCCCAGTCCTGAGCAGCTGCTCCAGGGAGGGTGTCTTCCCCAAAGCCAGCCCCACTGGGCTGGGTGATGTGTACCCCAGAGAAGTGACTAATGTTCCCCTGTTTGTGATCATTATGTGCCTTGCTCCACAGGAGACCCTCTGAGAGGTGGGCTGGCTCCTATCCCAGGCTCTGGCAAGCAAAGCCCGAAGCCTGCTGACCGCTGGCACCTGGTTCCAGGAGGCTGAGCGCATGGGTGGAGGGCAGAAGCTGAGCCCTCCTCCCTGCATGCCCTGGGAAGGCAGATGCCTGCTGTGTGGGCACCTCCTGACATGGAGTCAGCAGTGTTCACTGGGAGCCAGGCCCAGAGGCCTGTGAGTGAGTCCACGAGAGCCCCATGGGGACGGAGGTGCTCTCTAGGTTGGGGTGAAGCAGGGGAGACACACGGAGTCAGAGGGCTGCTCTGATGTAGAGGCCAGTGCTGCAGACGTGGCCAGGTGGGAAATGTCCCTGGGCCTGGGGCTGGGTGGCCATGGTATACAGATCACACTGTCTGGTCTGTTGTGACTGCAGGCCCCTCTCTAAGGTGGGCAGATTCAGGGCAGCCCCAAGGTGTCCCCTGCGGCACACCCGCCTTGAGTGCCTGCTTGTGCTCAGGCTCTGCTCCTGTGCCAGGTGGTGCTGGTGTGGTGACAGGAAGGTAGTCTGGACATGAACAGGCTCTCTGTGCCAGTGCAGCTGTCTGGGGTGGGGAGCTGCCGGCTCAGGCAGAAGGTGCCTACGTGGAAGGCGCATGGGCGAGCGTCAAGGGAGTGGACAGCCAGTCCCACATCCTCCCTGGCTGGATCCTGCCCAACACAGGAAGCAGCCTGGGATGACATGTCCACAGGGCAGTCCTACACCTCCTGACCAGCCTTGGGATACCTGGGCAGAAACCTCAGCTGACCCCAGACAGCAGCCCCACGGGACTTTGGGATAAGAGATGTTGCTTCAAGATGACTGGCTTGTGTAATCTGTTATACACCAGGAGAAAATAAAATGTTCTCTTTGAAATATATATTATTCATTGTTAAAAGTTAAGGTTTAATGCACATCTTATGGAAAGACAAATCTTAAACATATGGTCCAATCAACTGTGGCCAATGCATCAACCCTGACCAAGACAGGGCTTTCCCAGCACTCCAAGAGGTCCTCTTGCGGTCCAGCCACTCCAGACCCAGTACCCACTCTGAGCTGTCACTCCTGGCCAGTTGTGCCTGTTCTAAAACTATATAGCTGAACTCTCATAGCATGCACTGTCTTCCTAGATTCACTCTGTGTACTGATTTTGGAATACATCCATCTTCCTGCATGTAATGTTAGCCTATCCTTCTTATTGGTCAGCATTATTCCACTGCATGAAGTACAGAGGTTGACTTATATTTTTGCCCACTGATAGACACTGGCTATGTCTAGCCTTTGGTCTACTGTGCATAAAGCTGTTAGTGGCATTTGCATATGAAACTCTTTGTGGGCATTTTTCATTTCTCTTATATAAACACAAGAAGAGCAATTGCTGGGTGACTGAGCTGATATATGTTTAACTTTTTAAGCAACTGCCTAACAATGTTTCTGGTTGTGCTATTTTGCACCTTGCAATACTTAAGGTAGTTCCAGCCCCTCTCCAACATTTATTGTTTCTAGTCTTCGTGATTTAACTATTCTATCATATAGGTTTTGGAGTTTTACTGCCTCTTGAAAATGTTTGTATTAATTTCTAAATCAATGTAGCCCTGGTTATAAGATTGCATAACAAACTACAATTCCATGACACTTCAATATTTAAAAAAATTCCTCCATGTACATAATATCATTCAACCTTCACATAAGATGTTTTGACCTTCAGAGTAACCCTGTTATTGGTTCTACAGCATTTGATGCCAGGGAGATTGTGGTCCAGTTGCTCCCTCTGAATTTGGTTCTTCACTCAATCCAACCCTGTACAGCTGCAGCAATTTCTATTCTTTTTTTTATTTAGATTTTTGACAACTTTATTTTTAAAATAAATTGATCTTTGTAACCATCTTTTCTGGAATTAGAAAAAGATATAGTATTCTATTTAATTATCCTTGTGTACATAGCTTCATAATGAATTACATTCTTTAGCATTAGAAAATTCCTTATTTAGTCCTTTATCTTCATAGTAAGATGATCTTTGCATTTTTGAGCAATTTCTATTCTGCATCACAGCTCTGACCTTATTACTCCCCTGGTGCACATGCCTAGTGGTGCCCCACTCTCTGCAGAGGAAAGGCTAAACCTCTCAGCAGGGTTTTCCAAATCAATCATAGGCTCTTACCAGCTGACTATCCAACCTCTTATATTTTCTGACACCCAAACTTACTTCCTTGTTATTCCTGGATTTAGCTTTCTTGCACCACTGTTGTAATTAAAAGGGGTTTTGGAAATGTTTTTGAAATGGTTACTTTAAATGGTTCAAATAGTTATTAATGGTTAAACCCATTAAATCTGCTCCTCAGTCCTCCACTTAGGCCAGATGTTACCCTCTTTTTTTTTTAACCTTCTCCAAATTCCATTTCCATGAAGATGGAAATAATGTCTCTTTCTGTGTTTGTCTCCCTTGTATGCTTTGTATTTAGCACAGCCTAGGCACCCCAGAACACATGTGCCTAATGTCTTCCTGACCAGACTGTGATATCTCTGGGAAAATACCTGGGAGCTACTCTGCCTCTGCTAAGTTTCTACAGCTAAGATGGGATACACCTGGAGAACAGAAGTAGCTCTTAGGGAAGGGTCACTGCTATGGTCATAATAAGATGTTCTGGTCAACTGGTCTGATTCAAGGGTTAAGGAAGGGACAAGAATTCAACTGATTGATGGATCGAGCCAGCCAGCCAGCCAGACAGACAGCCATCTTCCACCTACACTTTGAACACTCATCCATTGATTTATCCATCTTCTCTTCTCCCCCATCATTCATGTGTAAACTCAACACCTAGCCTTGCATCCATCCTCTATCCATCCATCCATCCATCCATCCATCCATCCATCCATCCATCCATCTGTTCATCTTTGTACTCCTCCACTCCTATTTGCTGAGCGACTTTTCTCTACTCTTATCAAAGTCCCTGGGAATGCAAAGAAGACTACTGTACATGGTCCTCACCCTCTGGAGCAAACGTTTCATGGAAAGGCAGACACAGCAGCACCGTCTGCTCAGAGGATGAGTCTGGGTCCTGCTGCTCATGACAGTGCTCAGCTCTGCCTGGTACTGTTAGTCCTGGGCCTGCATCCTAGCTCACAAACACATCCTGCCCAGATCCCAGGAAGGACGTGGTCTAGCATTGGGCCCCTTTTCCCTCTAGCACCTTTCTCCCCACCTGGCAGGAGTCTCCCTCCAGAGGGGCATGGACTGCTGTGGGGAAGGGAGGTACAGGTCAAAGCTCAGAGAGGTATGGGGAATGTCAGTGTTCGGTGAGAAAACTAAGGTCTAAAGGGAACATAGGACTTGTTCCTGGCCATGCAACACATGAGTGGGGCTGGAGCAGTATGGGGTTCTATGGTTGGTGTTTAGATGTCCCCCCAAAGCCTCAAGCAGTCAATGGGTGGGCTTCTAGAGTTTTCTGTCAATCTACAGTCCAATGCTGGAATTACAAGTGTGAGTGCCACACCTGCCCTGGGCAGGCAGCCTGCATACACTAGGAGGGAGGGAACGAGACTCGCTCTTTCTGTGCCTCCCTTGCACTCTTGCTGCTTTTGCTGTTTTCTACCTCTGTGAACTGCTGCCCTCTGCCATGTGCCACTTTGCCTTGGAGCCAGCTGAGTATGGGTTGAAACCTCCACAAACTATGAGCTATATAAACCTTTCCTAATTCTGGATGTCAGATATTCTACTCAGCAATGAGCGAAAAGTAACCCAGACAGGGGAGCTGCGAGGCTGCCCCTGATGCTTCGTGTTCCCTGGCTGTGGAGAGGCACAACCTGGATGCTTCTGGGACACACACTTTCCTGAGTCAGCCTCCCTGCGGGGCCAGCAGACTGGGACATACCTGGCATGGGCGATGGCTGCCACCCACTCGTCACAGTCCTTTGCATCCTCTGTCCTCAGCTCCAAAGCTTTCTGGTTCTCGTGGGTGAAGTTCACTGTAAAGTAATGCTGCAGGGAGGAGAAGATGACAGCTAGTTACAGGGTCCCAGCAGCGGCTGGTGGCACCCACTGTCAATCCAGCTGTCTGCTAGCCCACAGGAGCTGGCAGTGATCACCAGAATGCTGTTCTAGTTAACGGTTTCACACACTCTGTTGAAAAGGCTTTTGCACAACGTAACAAAACCTATGCTTAGGATGTAACAAGGAAGGAAAATCACAAAGCTCTATTTGCCAACAAATTACAAAAAAGATGGTCTTAAACCACCAGACAGGCTAGAAGGAAGGCAGGGAGAGCACTTGGAGAAACCTCCCTGCCAGGGACAGCAATTCAACGCAGCATTGTCCAACCATTCCTCAAAACCCAAGGATGTGCTCTGCCAGAGCTGACCAGAGCAGACACAGCCCCAGAGCCTCTGTGCTGGGTGCAGGTGACCAACAGAAAGTGAGGCTGCCCGGGCTGTCGGGCAGAGCAGTATGGCATGCAATTAGGTGCCCATGTGGATGTTTGTGCAGTGCCTGGCACTTAGCGAGCACGTGAATGTGTTTGCAATAATGTGGTGTGATCTGTACATGGAAGTGCTAAGAAAATGAGCCACAGGGCTCACAGACCTAACCAGAGAAATCGGGGGGGGGGGGCTTCCCAGAGGACAGGCTCTATTGGACTCTCATTGGTTGGAGGCCAGGGATGCTGTGTGCACCTGGTCCATTCAGGGCAGCTGGCACAGGAAGAGTCGGGGCCAACTGCAGGGAGCCAGCTGGAGTGGGAGCATCAAGAACAATGCCTTGGGCTCTGGGGTGTCACAGGCTGGGGTCCACTGAGCTAGAGACAGCTGGGGTGGGGCTGGCAGAGGACACAGAGAGAGGACCAGCAGCGCAGGTGCAGACATGGGCCCAGAGGGACCCAGAGAGGCTGACTAGGGCTAAGCTGAGTGGAATTGTGCCCAAAAGGTGCTGCCCTTATCCCTTGGAGTCCAGCCGGCAGGAGCAGCAGCACAAGGCATCATGCTCTTGGAAGCCCCTGCTGACACGTCTCTGTTAACTGCCCTTCTAGGTAGCAGCCAGAGTGTGCATGAGCATGTGCACACATGTTTGGGGAGGGGACACTCACTGCCAAGACTGTGCCTCTCATTGTTTCCTAGGAAACAGGTAACAGGCTGTAGAATGAAATGTTAGCTACAACCTCAAATACCTGAACTCAGTGGGCCCGTACTGCTGCCTGCCAGGAGGGAAGCAGGTGGAAACAGCTGCAGGTGCTGCCCAGCACCTCTCTGTCCCTGAGGTGACAGGCGCATGATACTTTCTCCCAACCCACCCTGTGGTGCAGGCATTATCTGATTTTCAGGCATGGATCCTGAAGTAACTGTGCTACTTGCTCGAGGCCACACAGCTGGACAGCAAGGTGGCAGGACCACACAGCTTCCTGGACAAGGATCTTCTCCTCCAGCTGCAGGCCCACACTGGGAGCACAGGTGAGAGAAGCAGGGAGACAAACTCCAGGGGTGCAGGGGGAGAGACCCAACCCTGACTTCGACACAAGGCACAGAGAGGCTCTGGGCAGGATGGGGGCTCTGGGTAGGAGGCAGGAGCAGCCTCTCCACCTAGGCTGCAGAGGGCAGGGCTTCGTGTGGCTCAGGCCTCTCTGGGGAAGCTTCTGTCAGTAGGTTCTGATGGAGAAGTACTAGCTCCTACAGCTCCTGCACCCTCGCCATGGGAACCTGGCCTCAGAGAAGTCAGCTAGCCCAGGCAATCAGGCACCTGTGTCCTTTGGTGGCGAGGACAGAGTCCATACCCAGCACCCACCCCTCAGGCCACACGGGGAGGGGTGGAGGGCTCCTAAGACTTTAACTCCTCTCCCACCTCACAGCTAAAGGTCAGGCCATCCCCATGTCCACTCCACTTCCTCCTGGCCACCACCATCCCTGCAGGTGTCCTGCTTCTGTCATCCCTTGAAGACCTGGGCTGAATGACTGGCAGGCTGCATTTTAGCCAAAAAGTAGCTGCTGGCAGTAGGGTGGGCAGAGCCATTCCTGTTTCATCACATGGGGGCCTGTAACACTGAAGCATCTGCAGGCCTAGGCAGTTGGTGGGAGTAGAGATGACAGGCTGTGCTGGAGCTGAGCACACATCCTGACTTTGTGGGGTCTGTCTGGGGGCCTCTGCTGGAAATAGCACAACTGCAGCCAGAGCTGGAGCTGCTCCTGCCCCGGGTGTTCTGGCTTTTTCGAGACCCCAGCAGAGAGTGGCCTGGTCCTCTCACATGGCAGCCATTCCCCAGCACCTGGCTCACACAGCCAGCAGCATCCGGGGGGGGGGGGACCACTGACACTAGTGCTTCTGAGTCATCAAGGATTCTGACTCTGGGCTGTCCAGCAGAGACCAGCACACATAGGAATCAGTAGAGACAGGGATGGATGCGGAGACAGATGGGGGGCACAACACAGACTAAGCCTATATGTACGGGGTAGAGGATGAGGTGCTAAGGAAAAGGAAACACCTGGCTCACAGACCTATGTGCAGAAGAACCAAACACTGGTCAGTGGTGTGTCTGCAAGGGCAGGCAGCTGACTTCTGTGCCTGGATATGCCTGCTACACCCAGGTGTGGTCAGTAGGAGGGAGGAGGACCCCGATGCAGGTAGAGATGTGCGCCCCATGCCACAGAGGGCCAAGGCCTGGAGGAAGTGGCATGGGGCATCCTTGGGAGTAGGGCTTAGGACCCCCAGCCTGGGGCCCTTGGGGGCTCTTGCCCTTGTGTGCCTCCTGCTGCTGTCCTCATGGTTACAAACAAGCTTCCGAGTCAGCAGGCTGATGCTCCTGGGTAGGGAAAGCCCAGGGCCAAATTTCTGTGGTGGCCCAAGGGTGGCTTGGGGCAGGTGAGTCCATGCCTCCTGTCATCTGTTCTGTGATCTCCATGATACATGGCCAGATACACGTGTGCACATATGTGCCCATCTGTCATCTACCATCTGTATCTATTATCATCTACCACCATCTCTCCCTTTATCATCTATCTATCTTGCCCTATCTATCTATCTATCTATCTATCTATCTATCTATCTATCTATCTGCCATCTATTACTGATATAGCTTCTATCTTGAGTAACTATCAGAGATGAATGAGTAAGAATGTGTCCTGACTTTCTGGCTGGACAAGGCAGTTTCTGGGCCTGCCACCCTGATGTGCCCTCCAGGTGAGCTCTCACCTTTTCTCTGACAGGGTAGCCAATGAGCTGCAGCCTCAGTGTGGCAGGGTGATCGGTGTGAGTGTGGTACTTCCCATACCATCCAGGGCTGGGGCAGAGGTCTGCACACCCACCCTGTCCTTCTCTCCAAGCCCTCTCCTGCCTGGCAGACTCATGGGCCTGGGACTGCCTGGTGCAGAACAGATGGTAACAGCTGGTAGAAGGAGGAAATGAGCAGGTGCAAAGGAACTGCTGCATCCCAAGGTCCTGCAGTCTCCACAAGGACCCAGGAAGCAGCAGCCTCCACTGCCCCTTGCTAACATTAATTACACTGTGAAGACCTCTCCAGCTGCAGGTGTGGCCTGGGAGGAGGGGAGGACCTTGAGTTCACCCCTTTGATTGATGGCATGTGGGGCCACCAGTGGTTTTTAAACCAAGGCAGGGTTCCCTCCAAGTAAGCCAGGCCTGGGGGTGACAGACACTCAGGACAGCCAAATTCTTTCTCACTATGCTAAGTGATATTCTTTCATCAGGATTGGGCAACTGGGACAGGGAAAGCAGACTGAGGTTAGTCTGAGAGAAAAAGAAATCTTTTGGTGAAGTGTGTGAAAGCAAAGGTTATTGTTATGGATGCCATAGGGTTTTAAGGCAATGTTTGAGGGAAAGGGAACAGGGAAAGGACTCCCACTGCTTCTTGCTAAGCCTTTGATGTCTCAGGCTGACAGTTTACTCTGGGAAATTTGAGCCATCACAAAATGTTCTAAGAGTTTTACAGCCCAGGCAGGGGTGCCCAGTGCTGGTCCCTGGCTGGATCAATGCCTGGGCACCTGGCCTCCAGTAGGCTGGGTCCCACCAGCTTCCTGCCTCTCCGGGTGGAAGGCTGGGTCTGGGCTAGGCTTGGTGTCCCATTGACTTTCCAGGACTTCGGAGATGGAAAACACAGAAAGCTCTCAGGGCCAGAACCACCCAGCTCTGGGACCCAGCTGAGCCAGGACCCCACAGCCCACCCAACCCTCCCTGGGAGTGATGAGCCAGTCAGAGTGTAACCAGCAGATCCAGGAGGGGTATGAGCTCCGTTAGCCTTCACTTCAGTGCAGAGTTGGAAAGGTGGAAGAACATCAGGAGGCAAAATTCCCCTGGAGGTAAAGAAGTATCCTTAATTGACAGGAGAGGAAGAGGGGCAGCTCTGTAGCATGGCTTAGGGTGACAGCTGAGGTGCTACACTATGGAAAGGCCCTGTGCTGCCTGTGTAGCCCCTGGCCACCTGCATGCCTCCCATTTCAGCTTCTCCCTCACACAGCAGGCACAGAAAAGACTCTTTCCTCTCATGGGCGCGGGAGGCCTGGCTAAGTTAACAGGGATGTCTGGCCACTAACGGGCACTTTATTCTACTCCTTCACTGCAATTCCTTTGTAACATTGTTCTCCTGGGCTGGACAGCAAGGCTGAGCCTAATTCAAAGTGCGGGTACTTTGAACAAAATTGATCAACTACTAGACCTGGATTCATTACATAACTATGGGGCAAAGTCTTGGGCAACATCAAAGAAAGCAGCTGCAAAGCACTAAGGGTCTGAAACACCCATGTCTTAGGGACCTGGCTGGCTTGGGCTGTCCAGAGCCCCGGCTGTGCCTTCCTATGGCACTCAGAGCTCACTGTCTTCACCTGGAGCCATTCTGGAGGGCTGCTGCAGCTTCAGATGGTACCCTCGGAAGACACAGGAAGCTCTTCACAAGGAGCAGAGCCCGGTGTGTGCAGGGCTGTAGCTGGGTGAGGACCCAGGTAAGGCCCCGTGTGCTACAGGGAGGCGCAGCTCTAGAACAAGCCTGC